TCTGTGCCCTTAACCATTTCATTGTGTGCCAACTATAAAGTCTCTTGCCTAAAACCAGGAAATCTTTTCTACAAGGTTMATGATAACATTTAATAACCCTGAAACTATAGATAAAGTCCAAGCATCAAGACAAAAGAGTCAGTGTGGGGTCTCACAATGTCAATTAGTCTAATATGTACTCTACAGACTTAAGAAAAATCCCACTATTATTGATAAAAATATTAGCATTTGATCTATTGGCGAGATAGCATAGTAAAGGTTTATGACAGTACAAATATTATTATTTTGTAGATATTTTACCAAAGAAAAGATAGAAATAACTTATCAATTTATTGTATTTTAAACCACAGATTAGACTCATATTGCTATAGATAAATTCCCATATAATATCATATCATGCAAGAATAGCAATGAGCTGGGACATGCATATGTTGAAGTATGGGTTTTGAGGTTTCAAAAACTGTCTCACCACAATAAACACTCTTTATTCTAAATTGCAGACATTCGAATTTTCATTTGATGATTCGAAGTGATATTGGAAACAAAACCAAAAATACATTACGATAAACAAAAATACAAAATTACAGCRAATGAAATGTTCTACATTAGTAATGTCTTAAAATATACCTATATGCCTTTTGAAAAAATTATAAATTAAGGTATATTATTAATGTATATATTATGCTAATATAATATATTAATGAAATGAAATTAGGACAAGCACTCAAAGCTCGAAAACAATGTTAAGCGATAACTTTTTTCTGTTTCTATAAGATTATACATTCTTTTTCTCSTAGAATGAAAGCAAAAAATCTAGAGATTACTAATGAGAAACGAAAGAGAAAAATGGGAAGACACACACACACACACACAAAAACTAAAGAATTGGTTGCATAAATCCAAATGAATCAAAAATTGAACTTTCAAGTTTATAAATCTCTATTATCAATGTTTTGACTATACGAAGATTCCTTTCAAGCAACGTGTGCTCAAATTTTGATTTGGTTCAATGTTACCAATGAAAATCCTTGTGAGATAACAGAGAAAATGTTTAGTAGGTAACAGTTCTAAAATAAGAAATGATTTTATGGCTTATGTATATTTATATTAGCAAACGAACTTAAAAACATTGGTCACAACACGTCTACGTATATTATTAGTTTTAACATTGTTTTTCTAAGCTTGAGAAAATATTTTAGCTGTGCTCAACAAGGTGTTTTTTGTTTTTCGTTTCTGGACAATTTTTTTTAGAAAAATATTGCTCTATWGGTTTATCTGTTCTGGTCTAAACGAGTACACTTTGGGTTATCATAATATTCCTGCTAAATGACGATGAAATTTTATCTTATAACAGCAAYAAGCTGTTAGCTAAAGGAGTTGGCAAACACAGCTGAAGAAAAACAGACGTTCTTTGTTGTAGGTTGTATTATTAAGGAACAAGAACTACACATGCCACATACCAAAGCATAATAACTCTATAATAACTCCAGATTTGTCCCCATGAAGTCATTGAAAGTGATATTTACCGATATTTCCTTGTCATACCGCATTCAACCTTGTTTATAATCTTCAATGCGTTAAAATACACCCTGTTAACGTCAGTTCATCGTCTCAAGTACTTCTTCACATCTGGTTGAATGCCATGTTGCTTTCGATTCGATGGAATGAATTTCGATACTAACTTTGATTTYCTCGATCGATTTTCATCGTCTTCGTTTCGTTACACTAAAAGCCCTCCTAAGGTTTGAAGTCCTACCAGAATGTCCATTCATAGATTTTTTCTCCTTGTGTGAGTCTGAATTGTTTGAGTCCAGACCATCGTTTACTAGCGTAGCGTTCGTTATACTTGTTACATGGCTGAACAAACACGGACTTGAAATTTCATTTTTTTTCAACTTACGAAACTTTTTCAATTTCTCGTTACTCGTCGACACATGAAGTGTATCTATTTCTGGCATGGATGAGGTCCGTATCACGTCCTCTAAACTCGATATAACGTCTTTCAAGAACATTTTAGCAGCGTCTTCGTCGGCGAATCGCAGGCCTGCCATCACACCACCACCAGTCGACAAAGMCAAAACATGAAAATTRCCCTGTTGTTCTCTGTAGTTTGAATTTGCGCTGATAACTTCTTTCCAAATGCAAAACCCACTCTGTTTATCCATTAAACATATACTCATCCCTCGAGGATTCCTAGATCCACTATCACCTGAATTTACCACAAGAGCAGGGATTCCAGTTCTAACATACTGCCACGAGTTGGTTGAAGTTTCTACGGTCGGTGGCTGCCAYAAGTATAAATTTGCAACTGCGTTGCACACGACTACCTTGCTCGATAGGCATGAAAGTGAAAGCTTTATCTTGAAAATGTCTTTTTCTGCGAGTTTTTGAGATAAGGTATCGTCGCTTAGAGCTTGACGAACAGACATTTGAGCAAAAAACGTAGTATTTCTAGAATATATTAACTGCAAATCTACATGAAGATCCTTCAAAGTTGTTGATTTCAATAACATACACAGTAGTCGGTTTCATTATCATATATATCTGTCCATTTGTTCAATGGATTCATACCAAATGAACATTCCAGAGCATCGTTAAATATCAGACCTGAGCTCCCTTCGAAGTCCAAGAAAGACGAGACAAGTTTTCAATGGGAGAAAATTCGATTTTCACTGTTYTGTTCGATATCAGCGTTCGAAGTGTCTCCCCTCGAGTCCTGTTCGCAAATAACATCTGACGTCACGTGGGGTGTCTCACCATTAGAACGAGGGTGGGGTCGTGACGTCTAGTGTCACGTTCGCTATGTATGTCACACTTTTCCGTCACACTATTTTGGTTTTTTTCTCGCAGTCAAAACTTTAGTTTTGTAGATAAAATCAAAGCGCATGAAAATTCAAATCGTTTTAATGCGATTTTGGTTGATTTTAAAAGATCTTGTTGTCCCTTATAGCTTACATAATTATCTTATCATTCAAAGTCTATCTAGGAAGCCCTTATATCCCTTATATGGTAGTCTAGTTGAATGTCATTTATTCAGTCAGAGCAGACGTGACCTTGGTTTAATCCACATAATTCCTGGAACAAAGCTTATAATGAAACTAGATTAAACTTAGATTCTAAAAGATTAGGAAATATTATTTACTTCGACATAGTATTTCTTTTTCGGTTGTTGTTAGTRTGTCGGCAGTATTTCATGGGTACTGTGTACGATACGAAACTAGTTGAAATACAACTGTAATACCCTTCATTCATCACTAGACTGACTGGAGCTAGATAAGGGTAACGTCAGGTCAAAGGTATTCCACTCTTGAAAGCAAATGGAATATCACGRAAGTTATTATTCAAAACTGTCATTATATCATTTCTTTCCGTTTTGTTTTGTTTTGTTGTTATTTTTCTCTTTCTTTCTTTCTTTCATTTTTTTCATTTCTTTTTCTTCTTTTTTTCTTTCTTTCTTTCCCTTGAAATCCCTTTTTCGTTTTTTTCTTTCAGCCCATTATTTCTATACTATTTCATTTTGCTGGCACAACTCTGTATCAGTATAATTTGTTACATTTCGTATCAGGATTAGTGCGGGGATGAGTCATGAATGCCACAAGTTCTGACCAGCACGAACCGCAAGCCCTGAAAACGAGATATGAATGGTATAAACGATTGGTTATAGCTAAATGCACAATTACAACAAGGACTGAGCCAAACCACTGTTCTAGCTGTGTGGGACACGGTACACGAGGCATGACCGGATGACCTTGGTGAAAACAGACTGTCAAAAAGATTACACTTGAATGGCTTTACCACACTGAATAGGCCGCCTCATTTGGTGTCTAGTAGACCTCGAGACGAGAGCATATTCTGGTAATCCCATGTTTTTTTTGAGAACAGAAAAGCTAGGGCTCTAACATCAAATTTATATGAACACATGTGTTAATGGGAAATGACCTTTAAGTGCGCAATTAACCGGAAGTAGTCAGTTAATCCAGTGTGTGGGAATTATTTCCGGTAAATAGCTTTCCTAGTACGTATCGTACATCTATTCTAAAACAAAACTGACCCGTAAATATAACATTAACACGTGGCCGGCAATGAAAATAGACAAGATAAGACTACTAAGGATCTGCCTTCGGCACACTACAAAGGAAGAGTAGGGTTCGTTCGATATACCTGATAACGACATTCTCGGTTCCAACTGAAAACCTCAAGTAGCATTTTTGGCCCTTCATGGGACGTTTACTTCTATTAGCCTTTTTTACTGTTTTTCTTGTGTACAATAGCCTTTTTTACTGTTTTTCTTGTGTACAATATGCGCACGTACATGTCTCATTACAACGCTTTAGTCACAACATAGTTAACCAAGCACCGTATCTTATTCACTGTGGTCAATTCCAAGTGATCGGTCAAAAGTCTTCCTAAGGTTTTGTTTTCTTTCTTGGACCCGTAATTTTTTTCTTAGACATCGCGCATGGCTAACTCGGATATTTGGGGTCCACAAATAGCTCGTCGACTTACCCTCCTGTATGCATGTTGAGACATGAAGGTCAAAGCCCTCTAGCTTATCTATAGTTTACCGGATATCAGCTATAATGTAGTTCAATAGTTGAGATATATCGTGTTATAGACAAATCGATTGCATTTCAGCGGAGGTATTTTGTCTTTTTAGTYGGTATTTGTTTTTCTATTTCTTTGGAATTCCAAATATTTTGTGTACATTGGTAAGGCTTTCTTGGAATTGCGCGCAAACTTCAACAGGGCTGGCCACACCCATGCAAAACAAATAGTAACAAGAAAAAAGTTTGACAATTGTTAAGGAAATAACAAAAAAGTAAATGTAAGGAGAGAATGACTTTTTGGAGAATTATTTAAATGATAAACCAGGCATAAATCTTGGGGTCAGACAGAAGACAAGTGGAAATCTTTTTGTGCGGTTTGTTGTATATCTTGTGAGGTTTGTACATTTGGGGGGGGGGGGGGGGGGTAAAAATTTCTCTTTCTCTTTCATACAGAAAGACAAGTTTGTAATAACTTTATGTTGATTTGAATTCGAGAGTTTTGTACAGTAGGCACCAAAGTGAAAGTCTTAACTTAAAAAAATATCTTTTTAAATTTCTGAGATATGATATTATCACTTAGAGGGCCACTAGTTTATTAGTTATTTTGTAACTATTCTGTGCTACCCTCTTGAAATAAAGAGTTTATTATTATTTTAATATTAGAGATTGTTGCAGAATTGAAGAAAAGAACCACAACAAAAAATCAGAAAATGAAGTCCTGCAATCAAGGTAAAACTCCAGGTAAATTTGTTCATCAACAGTTTAATAACATTACAAGTTAGTATATATGACAAAATACCACATTAATTAATTATTATTATATTTTACATTTTTTTTTTCCAAAATATCAATCACAACAAAACTTAAGCTCATCACAAAAAAATACAAATTATTGCTCTGAATTTAACTTTGACCTTCACTGTCAGCTAATTATTATGATTACGATTAAATCTTGGAAGTAATACTGGGTGAAAACGTTTTACTAGTTGAGAGAAAAGTATGATTGGAAATCCAAATATTCTGTTCAGCAAATTATTATATTTTCTTTAATCTATAGCTAGAATACCAAGTTATATTTGCCGTGTTTATGGACTTTTTCCCACACTTCAGCCATATCAACTGGAACAATAGCTTTTTTCTCTGTATTGCCTCACTTTCAGCATTTCATGATGAGGTCACTCAGAATATGGCACAATATGATTAAGGTCCATTCACTTTGCTTCATAAATAGCTTGGATTTAACAGTGTAACTTGGGCTTTTATTGAACCACTAATATATTAATAATTAACACTGTTATCAAGACTAAAATGGCTTTGATAAATATTGTTTTAAAATATGGTTTTACTTCAGTGGCGTGAAAAGACTTGGTGCTGTAAAAATATTTCTCTTATGTATCAAAGGGAAAATACTAGTAAAAGTACTTTTTTAAAGGGGTCTTAGGTCTTTTTTCTGTTAACGACAGGGTATGAATGGCGATTTTCGTTAATAATTGTTTTTGGTTCTTAGAAAGCCATGCTATCTATATAAAGGTACAAAGGCTTAGAAATATTATACAAGTTAGAGTGTTTGTACATGCTAAGTAGAATATTTGGAAAAAGCACAATGGCTGGTATATGAAATTTAGAAAACACTTAAAGGTTTGTCTTACAAAGGAAAAAATAACAGTTTTCATTACTTGTGGTGTACGTTGCTCATGTCATATGTTAGAAGCATTAAGAATTCTTTTAAAATATACTTTAGTTGGCTAAATAATTTGCTGAAAAATATGCTAGAGACTATGTAAAAAGTATTTTCAAAAGTTTTGAGTAATGTTTAATGTACATACAAACCTAGAAAACTGGGTGCAGGCATATGCTGCAGGGCTCAAAATAACAACTGATGAGTCGCCAGTCATGATCACAGTCCAACAGCTTAACATTACTGAATCGAAATGACYGGCAAGGCAAAGATTTGACAGGACAAGTCCAAATTCTGGCAGCACATTGTCAGATGTGCGGCCGTTATTTTAAGCCCTGTGCTGCATTCAGGCTAAATGTGTCAAAGCAGTGGCAGATCCGGAATGATTTCAAGGGGGTTGACTGTTACCGAGAAAGGCATCACAAAGCATCCTTTTTAGGTCTTGACTTTATGCTTATTATTTTTCAACTTCAAAGGATGGTGACTAGTCACCCAATTCAACCCCTCCTCTCAGATCCACCCTTGCAAAGATGGCAGACAGTATATACTATAAACAAGTTTGGAAAGTTTTCAAGGAAGTTGATGAGACCAGTGACTAACAAGGGGGACAACTTGTGATACATTTAATGTTAAAAATTAGCGATGACAACTTTCTATGTTGATCTTTCTATGTTATCGCTAGTTTATCGTTAAATGTATAACAAAAGTTTGTTTAATCAACTTGTGTTACAGTCTTAAAAACTTTCTCATATCTGAGAAAATTGTAAAAAATATTCAACCTCCATTTGCGACATCTATAAAACTGTCACAAGGCGTATCTGTATATATTGTCTGTATTGAACACATTTAACCTTTTTTGCAACACAAGCACCATTCTTGCTAACCACTAGGTGTACCAGAAAAATAGATTACTCCAAAAAGGTTTTGCCTACACCTTTTTGAAGCAATAAATGTGTTAATAGAATTATTTATATATATATATATAATAGATATATTTTTATAGTCGTGTACTTTTCTATATGCTTAGACTTTTCCACGCTGAAAGGTCCACACTGCATCATTACTGCAGGCAGAATTCTGATAAGCTTGTGTCTAATGCAGTCCACTTTTGCGCACCTGTTGTTTAGTCCTTGACCAGTCTGTAAATATGATGCTGTGCACCATGCTCGCTTGTYGATACTTCAAATACATATGCAAGGCATAATAAGGTTTCTTGTGTCTCCCGATTGGTTACGACCTACGTAGATAGGCAAATCAATAAAGGCATTTTTAGTGAATATATAAACAAGAATACAGTCAATTTTATAGTTAACTAACCTGTAGAATTGTAAAGTTTTCCAACACACTATTCATCATATATTTTTCAGGTAACTGCTTGAGCTTGTGAATAAAGTTAATCATGTACTCGCACATTGGTGATCGGTGAATACGATACAGAAAACTTCCATTTTCAAAATGACCATATTCTGTCTGCAAATAAACAAATACTCTATTAGATAGTGTTCATCGCCACCACTATCATGTTTATCATCCCCAATCATGACGACCATCACCATCATGATCACCACCCATAACCATCTTCTTGCGATGAATTCAATACTCCATTTCAAGTTCTCTGTTGCTCAGGCTTAACCTTGATTTCATGTAGAATATTCACATGTTCCAGTAAAGACGCGTGGAATTTTAAATCTATTATATCATTGTAGTTGTATATTCTTTACTTTATCATTGGTATTTGTAAAATATATTTTGATTCTCAACTAAGGCTAACCTTGTCAGAGTAAATAAGCCTGTAATCAAGGAACACAGCTGCAGGTATCGTATGAATTCCACAATGGTATTTTGAAGTTCAGTAATAATTTTTAGACAGATCTCAAACCCTCAAGGGAAAATACTTGAAATATTTTGGAGACTAAGTTGGCACATACCTCTACTTTTTCAACAACTTGTTTTCCAAACGAACATACTTTAGTGGAACAGGTGATTGTCATATTCTCAGAAGATTCATACCTGGGAAGAAATGCAAAAAATTAGTATCAAACAAACCATAGAATATTTTTATCAAACTAAAATATCTCTGGGCTAATGGAATAAGTTCAGCGATGAAATGGGGGACCCAAGAGGTGAGAACAGACAGCAATACCATCAGGGCTTAAAATAACAGCCAGATATCAGGCAATGTCCAGCAAGAATTGGGGCTTGTCCCGTCAAATCATTGCCTTGCTGATYATTTAGACCAGTAACGTTTAGTCAGAAATAAGGTATGACTAAAATAAAACTAATTTGGCCTGTGATAATGACTAGCGACTGATTGACCATTATTTTAAGCCCTGTACCACTACACAAACTTTAATCTCTTGACTGCTTTCTCTCTTTTTTTAGTGACTTTATTGGGTAACAGCTAAAAGGTTTGAACATGTGCTTTTCATGTTTTTGTGTCTAAACAACTTATAAAATAAATCTTGTTGCTTTTTGGCCTTGCTTGGCTTTACAAGAGACTGAGCCAACTTATGACTAACAGAAGCCAGAAAACTCTAACATCTTGGCCATAAAAATAATAGGTTTAGTAGGGGAGGGGGGAGAAGGAATGGTTGTCTTTCTTACGTGCTAGAAACCCCGTAGAATGCTCCAGCTTCATCATGAATACTGGTGTTTAAATCAGCCTGTGGAAGCAAAGAATAATATTACTATGTAATCCTAGTTAGGAAATGAATGAATCAATTGGAAAAAATGCACACATAGGGAGAAAGAAATTGTGAAACAAATCACTTAAGTAACTTACCCAAAACTTAACCAAAAAGAACACAGGTTGCGGTCCTTTGTCATATAATTCTTTCAGGCCACCTTTCTTTTCTGGAAACTTGTCATAAATCTGTCTGATGTCTACAGCCTGTGATGAGGAAGGACAGAATGAATTATTCTAAGACTTATCTGGGGACAGGTATTGTATGTTATGTTTTGATTTCTTTGATGACAGTCTTATATTATACCTTTTTAAACCTAGTTTAATTCATTCTTTACTACAACTAGCACATATTCCATTACATATATATATTCAATTGAAATATAAACAATACAAATGTAAACAACTTATTCATTAAATTGGTGTGTGAAATAAAGAATCTGAATCTGAAAATAAAAGAGTATAAGGAAAAGACAAGAAAGGTTGATTTACCTCAAGAAGTGGATCTGTAAAGTTAGTGTTTGGTCCCAAGTGAACAAAAAGGTGTTTATGATACTATAAAGAAACAACAAAATGTTTTAAAAATAATACCTCCCATTATAAAATCAACAAAATAAAGTAATGTGCATTTGTGTGTATATATAGCAAGTACACATAGCTTTAACAACAAACATTTGGTATAAAAATGCTTAAAAAATAATAGCAGGTCATTGGACATTCTAAGGCCAAAATTAATACTTGTCCCACCAAGCACCTCTTAAGGCTGGTTCTCTTGACCAATAACATTGACTGGTAACATGTTGGTAACATGTTGGTCAGTGCGCTATGCATGGCTGGTCATCATGTCTGGCCGTTGAGAAGCCACTATCTTAAGCCTGTCAGTTGATAATATTACTTTATTCATTTTCATTAATTATTGCTATATTTAATAATGATCTTTTTTGTTACTTACAGTTTCTGGGTCCATTGTTTGCTGTTCTAGAAATGCAGAAAATTCTAGCAAGCGTAGCGGCTGTAAAGAAACAAATAATACAACCCATCCACAATTAGACAATAATTTCAGTTTGCCTTCTGAGTACCATGTGTAATGAGTTCTTCTGTGAGGTTTGCTCTGCATGCACTACTAGCTATATTGTATATGTAATATATACAATATGAGTGGCCGTGTTGTATCAGATATACAACCACGAGCTGAAGGCAAGTGATTGTATATCTGATACAACATGGACATGAATATTGTATATTACTTATGAAACGTCTAGGTGTATACATTCATGTTCTACTATAATTTTAAAGATAAAATTGAATTTGGCTAAGAAAATTGGAGTTAAAGTTTATGCAAATCAGGACGATTTTGTATCAGATATACAACCTCCTCCACAGACAATGGTTTCTATTGTGTTTTATATGTTGAATATTTGCAACACTCAACTCACATATTGATTTTCATGGACGGAGAAAAAAACAGATAAATCTAGAGGAAGACCCTTGTGGCAAAAAAAAGAATTTTACACCAAACTTGACTCTCTTACTCCTATATAAATAACTAACGTTTGCAAAATAATCCTTGCAAACTTTTGTACTCTGTGTTTAAGTTTCCTCTTTTTCACTTATTATAAACTTAACCCACAGTYGTGGTTTAGTTGAGAATAATCATTTATGGCATTAAATGAACAGGATGTGACTTTAAAATATGGCATTAGTCTATGTTAACAATATATTACCATATGAGAAGCCTGTCTGTTGCTGTTCCAGGATGCATGACCTGTTGGAGGACTCGTAACTACTGTCCTTGTGTCTCCATAAGTTGTACTTCTCTATAAAACCAACAAAAAGTAAAACAGTTATTCCCACTATTAAAAAAGGTGAGTTTATTTTTCCTGAAGCATTTTAGTCGTAAGCAAAGAAAATAATGGTGATCAGAGCTTCTAAGTGTCAGAAATTGGTATAATTTCTTTAAACTTTTACTAAATTAAATGTGGATGTAATAGAATGGTATGGAACGGGAAATGATAAATTATCCCCAAGCTGCAAGTATGGGCAATGTGAGAAAAAGAGCAGCTTTCAAGCAAAGACTTACCACTATTTCATCCTGTGAGTTGACGACAGCACCAGCAGAACTAGCAGCTGTTGCTGTGGAAACTACACTGCCTGCTTGCATACCAGGCTGAATAGGACTGCCGTAAGGTGATTGATTGACAGATCCATAGCCTGCTGCTTGCTGGTTGGAGCCTGGTTGTTGCCAGTACTGAAAACAAATAGGTAAAAACATTAGCAGGATATATAAAAATGAAAACACATTTTCTTCTAATAATAAAGATATAATAATAAACTATTAAAACCCCGTGATTATCAAACATATTCCCTTAGCCTTTACCCTTGACATCGATAGATTTAGGTAGTGTCAATAGTGGCAAGCCCCCTCTTAGTTAGGGATTTTTATCCCTTTTTAAGGGGGGGTGGGGGGGACTTCCTCTTCTTTTGGCTTGCATAGTAAGCTTTGGGATTCTCCTAACTCTACAAGTTTGTAACTAAACCTCATTGGAGTTTTAAAGAGGTATTAACAGAACTTAGTTAATTGATGTTACCTGGTAAGACTGATTATCATTTCCACTAAAACCAGAAGCACCACCAGATGTATTTTTGTTGTGTATAACAGAAGCAGAGACAATTTGTGCAGATGACATAGAAGCCATTGTCTGTAAAGCCTTGTCACGAGCTGCTTGGTCCTTGAATAAAAAGAGAAACCATAGTTAATTTTACTTTTCATAAAATAAAAATATCCTTGAAAGAATTGTTTGAGCAAATTTTTTTACTTATCTTTCTACTTTAGAATTAAAATATTTATTTACAAGAAAAAGAATGTTCTTCTGTTAATTGAAAACCTTAGATTTTTATGTTTTCTGTTACCTTAAGGACTTTTCTTAATCCTTGAAATAATAAACAGTTTTTTTCCAAAGTAACCAACCTTAAATTTTCCTTGGATATCCTTTGCAGTTTTTCTTGCTAAGACTTGTATGTGACTTGAAACCTATCGCGGGGTTAAATATACGAGGAAGAGTGAATATAGGGGATTAAACAAACCTTAATCTTTCCTTGTATCTCTCTTGCCTTTTTCCTTGCTAACACTTGCAAGTGGCTTGATACCTGAGATATTAAGGGACAGGGATACATCAACCCTGGACTACTGCACCATCCACAGGGCTCCCAATAGTCACCCTTCTAGAGGTAAATCAAGTGATGGGATGTTAACCCTTGTCAAATCCACCACAGGGTTCCCATCATCAAGATTAACTTTAATGTTAGTCAATCATGCCAGGGCTATAGATAACAGCTGGTCAGTCATGATAACCAGCCAAATTACTTTTATCTCTGTTATACCAACAAGCTAGGGCAAAGATTTGACTTGTCAAGTTCCAATTTTAGCCGGACATTGTCCAGTGACTGACAGTGATTTTTAGCTCTGCACGCAGACATTAATGCAGTACTGAATCCTCTAAAATCTTCTAAGCTGATCTTAGTCATTAACTAACACATTAATTAGAATGTAGCATATTGGGCTTTGCTGACAACCCATTAAATTCAGAAAGACCCAACAAGCTATATCTATATGTGAATTACAAGAGTCGAACCTGAGATCTTAATAGTAAAAGCCTAACATTGACTTAAAAAAACACAGACTATTGATTTTTAAACTTTAACCTCTTGTCTAACCTGTTTTCTAGTCCTAGTCTTGCCAGTCCTGAGCTTTATATATCTTGCAATCAGTTCATTCCGGCCTGTAAAAAAAGAAATCAAAATTAAAACTATTACTATTATGTTTTTGATGTCCTTTGACAAAAAGAACATAGAACAGGGCTAAATAATATATAGGTGAGAGTGCTGAGAATAAACTGGTTCACATGACCACTTTAGTCCTATCTCTACACAGTTTTATTATTACCAACCAAAATTGGATGGGCTTAAAAGAACCACTGAGGATATGAAGACAACCCAGCAGTGACCTATACCCTCAGTGTCTGCAACTTATACTAACCACCTCTTATGATTGCAAATTATATTTAAAGCAATCTAAATGTAAAGCATCCATAATGCATTATGCTATATATATATATTATAAATCATTATCATTAAAACCTAATAGCCTTGAGAAAAAAAAWATATCAGAACATCAATGAATACTCTACTTATGCATTGAAGTYGCCGTGATATGCTCATTATCCAAAATACTGATTACTGTGTTCCCTTAAGTTTGTTATGGAGAAGAGATTCCCTGTTTTCTATAACAGAGTATCGGAACAAACTTCTAACTAAAGCCACACTTTAGATAATCTAATATCACATGGATCAAAGACYATATTCTCTCATAAAAGTAATTACATATTTCAAATGTTGAGTTAGGAAAACGTGGAGTTGTATCAAGAAGTCTTTTTTAGCAATTTAAATGGTTAAATTGCCTATGCTAATATTCTGATATTAATCGATGACAAAGGTCTATAAATGTATGTAATTGTTTTTGAAAAAAAACATGACAAGTAAGTAAAGTGGCATTTTTCTTTTCTTCAAAAAATATATATGAATTTTCTTTTAACAAATTAGAATTATAAAATCATGCTTACCTGGATTAATTTAATTAAATATACTTGTTTTATTTGTATTGTGTGGCAAAGAATTGACCTAAAGATAATGACTTATGATTTCAAAGTCTGTTATACAAATCTTATAATAACTTCGAGCAAAAAAAATTTGAATTTAAGGTTTTTTTGAACAAATCTACAAGTTTTTCTTCAAAAATACTTTAGTCAGTGTTTYGTAGCAATTTCAAAAACAGTTTTTCAATTAATGAGCAATTAACTGTATACTTTTGGGCGCCTTTTAGTTACCAAGCAATGGTGGTTTTAAAGTAGTAAGACAAAAGCTTTTTAAAATCTTGAAATAAAAATCATATTCTAATTACTAGTACTCTACCAGGGACACTTTTCTCACCTTTTAAAATGTCTTACCAAATTTTCAAACTTGTTGAAAATATTTTTCAAAATTAATAGAATTGAATCAATATGCATATYATTTTTCTTATACAATAAAAGTTAGTTTGAAGGTCAAAACAAGTCGGAGAAGAAAACTAAATAGCTGAAAGCCACTATTTTATTATYATAAGAAAAGAAAATAGCTTTTCTTTGGTGGAGCCATGAAAAAGACAATACCGTGGATGTTCTTGGAATTTTTATCTTAAAAACCACTTCTGATGACTGCGATTAAATGATGCACCAAACAATCAAAATGGGAAATTAATATATTTATGTAAAATATTGAAATTCAACTAAACATCTAAAACTACTTATAACACTTATCAAAATTTCAATTCGAGTGAAATTAGAAAGAGTATCAGGAAAAGCCTTTAGGGTATTCCTTAAGAACTGAATGGAAAAACAAAAAAAACAATAAACAATAAATTTGAGAAGGCTTCCCTGATTATAAAATATCAAAAGRGCAACAACATCTTCAGATCCTAAATTTATCAGGATTATTGCAGTAACCTGATTTTAGTTTAGTTTGGGTATAAAATTAATCGATGCACTCCAAGAATTGTATACAGACGAAAGTAAGACAAATGTACTTTACAAGAAAGTAATATTCTGAGTGATAACTAATGAAAAATTACCTAGAAGCTGCAATCAAAAATGTCTTAAAATAGGAAACATCAACACTAGATTCCTCTTATACAGGAAATTACGCATTTCTCTATTCAGTTTACTTTTTATTTGTAAGCTTCACTCAAAATCTAGGTCTCTAGGCAACGACTTTCGAGCAAAGGACAGATTTTTTAACTTTTACAAAACAATATGTTAATTTCAAGAAAACCATTCTAGTGTCTATTGTCTCGTTCTTCACGCCAGCGAATGTTATGACCATTTTTTTTAAGCTTACAATATTTAGTATATACCAGGTTTTATAYCTAGATATTATATTCTATGGGGTATTCTGTGTAGCTATTCCAAAGCGTTTGTTTAATTTTTGTTGTAGTAGTTTTGCAATGTTAATTTGGAACGACTATTGAGTATGAAATCTCTTTCACAGTACATGTGGCATAATACAAATTGATCCCAAAGCGGAAAAAAAAGTTAYTCCATCGTCATTCTATGGATCTCAGAAATAGTTCCTCTGAGATAACAGTGTTATTAATATATTAAGTTTATTCGAGGAATTTTAAGAGCACTCTATTTTGAACTGCGATTTCTTGGTATTCTAACCGAACCAAACTCGCCAAAGCCGGTTAACAAATGCACATAAACGCTTGAATATTTCTCCGTGGTATAAAAGAATAATATCACAAAGTTATTCACAAATAGACAAGAGCTTAAGTCAGCAATAAACGCGTTGATCATTTAGCCACAACATGAAGCTTTGGTATGAAGGTTAATGTTTTGGCATAGCGAACATATTTGGAACAGTCTTAACAAGTCTCGCATAATTTAGCGATTGTATGCGGAACGCAGTAAGTTCAAAGCACGCAAACATCTTCTTTCAAAGCCCACAACTCGGCCATAATTGGAGCAGAGCAACTCGAGGTAAGGTTTCGGAGCAGTATTCAACAGGTTTCCGAGCAGACGCTAGCGATCGTGSAATTACAGCAATATCAACGAATGATTTATTATCTAACAACAACGTGAATTGGCTGTTCATTTATGCTTCGTCGAGCTAACAAGCAAGCTGAGAATCTTATACGACGATTAAACGTTTCTAAAGCACCGTAGAAGACCTACAAAGTGACTTTTCAAATGGAATTAGAAAGATAAAGGGAAGCATATATTCTGGCGGTTGCCCCACGGCTAAGATTYGATGGTGTGCAAGGCTACAACAACCACAATCACCAACCAAAGAACGCAGGAGAAGAATTTGAAAATCGTAGTTTGTTTGCTTCACTTACCATACATCTTGCCCTCATCAGACAAAATAATTTTTCTCCGACCACATGGCGGATAAATGGCCAATGCTTCTTGGAATGATTGCTCAATATCAGGAGACCAAACTCCTTCTGCATCATTCGCCATGTCGGCTGGACTTTTGGCTTTGCCTTCATCGGCTGAATTAGTCATATCGTCGTTTGACTCTTGGTCCGAAATCTTGGCGGTTTTAATGAAAATTCACTTAAAATTAAACTTGTTTACCCCGATGTGGGCTGGAGATCTTGCGCTGAACTCAGATATGAGCTGAATTCTGGATCGACAATCTTCGAATCCGGAAGAACAACTCTCGAAAAATGCTAAAAATTTGAACGATTCAAGTCTGCGTCCTACAAAGTGTTTTTTGGCGGGGAACTTCTTGACTTGTTCAATGTTTCTCAAAGACTTTGATCACAACTGATGAGCTCTCGAGAATTCTCTTTGTAGTGGCAGAGCTCGTAAACCTTATCGCTTTGGGTAACCTAATTCGCTAAATGAGTCACAACAGAGGATTGATTTGAGCTTCTGCAAACCAGAAGCGAACAAAGAATGTAAGGAATGAGGGAAACTATGTTCGGCGCGCCCACAAAAGAGCTCCAACATTACCCGCTAGAGGGGGGTCCGCCACATTTGCTCGACTGCTCTCTTAACCTTAGAGGAATTCAAAACTCGCTAACAATATGACCAAATACGGAGAATCCCAACTGGCGGGATATTCGACATCTCGGTCGTTATAATCTAGCATCTTCTRTTACACATCTCTCGAGGGTCTCTTTTGGAATGAATTTGGGGCCTATTTGGTTGGATATTTGTAAAGCAAGGGAACATATCGAGGAGTATTGGACTGATGGGTGTTTAAATTCTCCTCTCGTAAATGACAGGTTCTTTGCCCAATTTGGAATAATTTATACAACACGTCATTCCAAGCATATTTAGTTATAGAAGCGTTGTGATTGGCTGGATTTGATAACACCTTTGTAAACATTAATATATACTTTGTTAACGTTATTAAACATTGGGGGAAAAACATATTTTTTAAGTTGTTTCAAACAAAAGAACAATCAGAAATATTGCTACAAAATTTAAGAAAAAGTATATATCCATTTGAAAAAATTTTTTCAGTACAATTTTCATAGTTTTTGACAAAAAGATAGAGTAAACGTGGCAATACTTAGCATGATGACTTTACTAATTTCTTTTTAACTTCGTTAAATTGAGCCCCTCTCAAAAACTTCCCAGCCTTTAACAAATGAGCTGTAATCATGGCTTGATTTCAATAAAACTGAGTTATCCTAGAATGATCAGTCGCTATGGGACTTCAGCACTTTCTTCCTTTTTTCCCATTTTGACGCGTTTACAAATTTTAATTTTTCAAACGGGAGATTCAGCGTATGAGACAATGTAATATTTATTCTCTGAACAAAACGTAATTTACAACTTCCTATAGTTTAGCAATTTCGAATAGTGCACGATTATATATATTTTTAAATTGTTAATATGTGTATTTTCTTTTTCTTTTTCTTTTTCTTTTTCTTTTTTTTCTTTTTTCTCTTTTCTTTCAAGATCTAATTACAGTTGCTCTGAGTGTGTATGGAATTTTCTATCTATTTAAATATATTTTAAATTCAGAGCCGAGAAGCTCGCATAATTAAGGTTTAAAGTCATAGAAATTATCATGCAACGTGGTTTGAATCGTGCGCAAAAGAAGGCAGCCATTTTCTTTTTTCTTTTTTGGACCAAAATTGCTCACTGCGTACCAACTCGGTCTTTTTAAAACACCTCAAATATGAAAAACATCCATAGTATTACCGCTAATCCTTYTAAATTTAGACTTGATACCGTTATACTTAATAAGCTTGAGGTTATTTTGAAGAAGATCTAAACCCTCTATATGTGGTCTTTCATAGACTATGAAATTGTGTCTAATTTCGTCTAACGAGAAACTACCAAAGGGCATAATAAGAATAGACCGCGTTGAAAGACTTGAATGCCGAAAGAGAAATGAAGGTCACGGAGAGAATCCCAAGAATGAGGGATTGTCTATATTTCTGAATCAAGTCTTGCACTCTTTACTTCAATTACGTAGGTTTTTGTAAGACGATAGCAAAACACATCACAATTACCAATCAAAGGTGAATATCCTTTTACATTTTACCGAATATGGAGACGTTCTCGATGCTAAATGCGTCATTCTTAGTCCGACTAAAAAGAGCAAGMTTATTTTTTTATGGCCTTTAAGAGTTTTTCTTATATTTAACGTTTTTACATGTTTTATTTTACTTATTGGCTYCTAGGAAATTGCGCGGGTATTTTTGGCGGGGGAAGGAAGGAGCCACGCACTGATCCCGGCCGAAAAAMGAGTTCTCTCTCACGTACGCACTTCAGTAGATGGTTTAAAAAGCTATTCATAAACCACTTGTAATCAAAGAAACACAAAAGTCTTTCTTTAATTTATAAATTAGAAAATTTTAAATACRAAGTGAGGCATTTTATTGAGCAAGGAAAGTGTTTCTTAGCAACGCTAAGCATTAATTTAACCAGAGAACTGAAAAAGAGAAGCTTTATTACAGCAGAATTTTTACTGTACAAAACTAAAGTAAGTAGTGTTCAGTTGGAATGTCAAAGTCGAAGTGATGTGTGAACGTACTGACCGCATAAAAAGAAGAAGACTGAGCCGACGACACAACGACGGCTAACAGCTGGAGTCTTGTCGTTGCGCTGCATCCGAGGAAGCAGCCTAACTATAGTTGCCCTGCAGCGCGCGCGCATTGCGTACGATCGGTTTTATCGAAGGCGCCCGGAATAAACTGATCCTATGCTTCTTCAGGCTTCTCATTGTTTGTTTGTTGGTTGGTTGGTTGGTTGGTCTGTCTGTCTGTCTGTCTGTCTGTCTGTCGTCTGTCTGTCTGTCTGTCTGTCTGTCTGTCTGTTTTTGTTTGTTTGTTTGTTTCTCTCTTTCTGATTGGTTCATTAAGGGAAATCAAGGGTGTGGCCTGGAGTCTCGAATTCGATTCCTGACTTGACATCCCATGGTGCCATGTGAATAAAGATTGTTAGGTTTCTCCCTCGAATAATCGGATTCGAAGGCTATTCTCCTGGGTTCTCAAGTTTTCCTCACTAGGCCTTTGTGATACCTAACAAGCTAAATTCCTAATTGGCCTAGTTCGGCGATCTGTTTTATTATCAACTTTATTGGCACTGTAGGAAGAAACAATGAAAATGAATAAATATATGATATAGATATATATGTGTACAAATAGCTGACCAAATATAAAATATAAAGGCTTTTTTAACGGGATTTCAGTTATTTGGTAAGACTGGCAAGCTGTAATTCTACTCAAATTTCACAACCAATTACTGCAATGCAAWATCAGCTTATCCGTGATTGGTTCAAAAGTTCAGTCCAATAAATCAGTGTCGCATTGTGGATTCCGCATGGATACCGTTACCGTACATGTACGTTTGCGCAAAGCTACCTGAGTGAAAGCTCTTCCCACCACGGCTGAAAACCGACAAGACAGATGGACCACCTTCCAGTCCAACCAGATGAACGACTAGCAGTAGCGCTAGCAGTCGAAACGTCGTGGTCCTCCCAACTGCCACAACCGTGAAACAAATGAATAGATATAATCTTTGCTTTTTATCCACAATGAATAATTTTTTTCCATTCTACAGATGGACCCTGCTACAGTGTAGCTACTACAATGGGAAAAGAAATGTCAGTAAAGGCCGGCAAAGTAAGCAACTGTACTTATTAAACGCATACGATTGATGATTAGTTACTGCACAATTTGCYGCAGATGTGGAAGTTCCTCCTTCTCATATAATCGATATAAGAAGCATTTTGCGTGCCCAAAATTTTCTTCAAAATAATCGAGTAACTTCCGCCGGCAGCCACCCCTTTTCCTCCAAGGGTGGTGGGATAACTGTGGAAAGGATACTTGTTGAATATTAACCAGACCGTTACCATGGTTGCACCAAGCACAGCTCTATGTTGTAAGATCTATCGGTGCAATGATGCACAACAAAACTTTTCAACAGCAAACATGAACAAATTTATAAATTRATTGGTAATATTTCAGTAGAACATAGCTAAAGGTTTAATTTTAGCTTTCTTCATTCAAAATGATGACATTGACGTCTTCTCAGACTAACAATGGTCTTCCCCGACTTCCAACGCTGCCTGTCATAGAACACCCAAGCTCAAAACATGTAAAAGGCGACTTAGAAGTTCAYGGTTCTTCAAGCTCACAGAATGAAAATACAGCCAAAAATAAGGGTCCTTTACCGCCTCTACGAAACGAAGATAGTCGTTATTCTCGAGAGAAAGGAAGACGACATTCTAGAGGTGCAACATGGCCTGCTGGTGAGTGAACTGATTGTTCAAAGCTCTTTCGAGTGATTGTTTTGATCAGATAATATAATATAATATCTATCTATTAACTCTGTTTTGATGGACAAGTTGAGTGATAATTGATCGACCTCAAAAGAAACAAAATTAAAAATATTATTCTCCATGATAACTTTTATATTAAACCAAAAAGAACAATAATGATGTCTAAGTATGAGAGGAAAAAATAAGTTGGTAAAACTAAAAATATTAGTACTTATGTTGAATGTTAAAAATGTATCAAAACACCAACACACCATATATGAATAGCTACCATCTATAGCAACGTAAATAATCAAAATTAATTGAACTCTTAAATTGAAATACCTCGCAATAATAAAATCGTTTTTCTTTGTATGGTTCAAATGGTAGTTTAGATATATTTGTTACAAAAGAATTAAATTTGTAAGAACTAGTGTCAGTATACCACCTACCACCTCCCCCTCCCCCTCCTCCCCCCTAGTCACCCCCAACTCAAATATATTCAACTGTATTTATCTTTAATTAGTTTTTAAATTTTTCTTGAATGTATGTAGATTTAGGTAATGGACGTGGTATTCGGCCATTGACACACAAGAAAACAGTTGATGAGGTTTGTCTTCTTCATTTCTTTATTATTAATTATTGTAACTATGCTTTAACAGTAATAGACCTCCACGGCTCAGGCATGTTTTTCCATTTCAGACCATGTGTCAGTCCCTTGAGAATAAGATTCTTTGTTTTAGTTCAGCAGGGGCGGCAGAACTGGGGGGGCCGGGGGGCATGCATGCCCCCCTCTATAAAATTTTTGGAGGGGGCCTGGTCCCCCACAAAATATTGGTTCTCAGTCATAGTTTTACAGCACATTTGTCTGCAATCAAACAAAACAGCGGTCATTATCACATAGCATTTGATATAATATTTCAGTGCCCCCCAAAGATTTTCAGCTTCTGCCGCCCCTGAGTTGTATCAATATTCATGTGTCTTTTCTTGTGCAACCGAGCACAACTGTTAAACAAAGGAATGATACCCTATGGAATGACACATGGTCTGAAATGGGAAAATATTATGGTAGAGCTAAGAAGGTCTATTGTAGTTATTGGTCAATACACTAACATAAAGATTTCCTCGGCTTCTGCACATAGACCTTTTTATCTTGCATGGGTAAATGTTTTCCCAATTTCAGACCATTTGTACTGGAAAATCCCCATGTTGGTGATTGTATTTCCTATTCCCAGTGACCTTAATGATCCTGGTGTCTGCATGAATCCTTAATCCAATATTAGTGATCCCTCTATTTCCCATTACCAGTAACATTAAATTTCTAAAACACCAGTTGTTTTATTGGAACAAAAGTATACAAATCCCAGAAATAGGAATCAATGAATTAAAATCAATATGATTTAAAAATAGTGTGAATATTGTTTTTTTCCCTTCTAGTTAGAGGAGCTTATCTACGATAAACTAGCCTCTGGTTTTTATGGTGTCAGACAAGCATTCAAGTCCAATGATYGCCAAGGAAAAGGAAATATTTCAAGGTATAAATAATATTGCTACACATATAGCCAGTAATGATTTGGGGTGGCTTCTTTTTATATCGCTACAATGGTTGTGTCTATGTCTTTAGATGGTGGAGGAGGGGGGAGGGGTTAGTGGGCAATA